AGGGCTGTACCTTTTAGTTTAAGGGTCATAGCTGACTGTTTTAAAGGGTTGGGGTTGCGGGTTTGGGGTTTAGAGTTTCGACGTTTTGGGTTCGTTAAAGGATCACGTTTGGGGTGTAGCCCGCTTTAAAACTTCAGGGCGTTAGGGCACTTCAGTTTGTAAGGGCTTCAGGGTTCCTTAACTGGCTTCTCACTTATGGGCTTCTTTTGGGTTCCTTGAAAAGGGATCTAGGGTTTCTGTAAGAGTCCTTTGGGGCTTAGAGGGTTATTTAGGGGTTTAGGATTTCATTTCGGGCTTTAAGCTATAGTTTAGGGGTTTAGGGGCAAAAGGTTAATTGTTAATTGAGGGGTTTAGAGGCTTCGGGGCTTAAGCTTGTGTTTGGCTTCTACATTTTTTCAAATGCAAAACGTTTCATTTAACTTGAAGGTTATTATATGTTCTGGAAGGGTGTCCCGAGGCCTGGCAATGCGAGTGTTGGGGCTGCATTGAATTTGGGGGAATCAGCAGGCAGGACTTAAGGCTTTTGGGAACAGAGCTTCAGTGTTCTTAGAGGTTTAGGACATTAGGTTTTATAGGGCATGGGGGAAGTATAGTTCCCTAAGGGCCCAAGTGCTCATGTAGTACCTCATTTGCCCCTAAAGTATCCCATTTAGGAAGGCCGACGTTTATACGACACAGTAATCGAGTACGCTGACGTCAACAGGTTTGCTATACAATAGGTAATGTAGTACCAGATGCCTGGATCGTTAGCTCAGGGGTTCAGGGAGAATATATATAGAATCCTCAGTAATTACCGGGCTATAGTCTGACACCCTCGGATCAAATCCCAGGCTTTCTAAAACGGCCTCCACAATGTCTATACGGTTTAGGGTTTAGGTTAGATAGCACTGGGGCTTCCGACTTCCCGTCCCGTCTGAAATTTCAGGCATCCTACGATGTCCCACTCTAGGGTTGAAGGGTTGGGGTTTCGGGCTTAGTTGACGAAAGTTTCGGAATCTCGCATCCATTGGAGGACAGGCTGACCTGGACTACTACATCACCGTCTCTTGATGAAGACCTGCTGTTGCATGCCCTTGAATAAGAACTATCCCAGAATTCCAGAAACCCCAATTTTCACCTTCAACGCCCATATCAAAAGACTGAAGGATCTAGCTGATCCTACCATGGGGAGGTTACCAAAAATAGACTTCCAGTGAATGGGAACTATAAGGCTTACTGTAAAGGGGCATCATGGGAGGGTTTCATAATGTGGCGGGCTTAATAATTGGAGTAGGGTTTTGGTGTATTTACAAGGGACCCTCAGGGAATAAGGTTTAGAGTCGCGTAAACTGAAGGCCCTTCAAGTAGGCGTGATTCAGACTCGCGTTAGTGGCGGGTTGAGATCAGCAATAAGGCGAGACAGCTAGCTTCATCTCGAAGAACACGTAAAACAATGTGTTATATAGTAATTAATTACCAGGAGCTTCCAAGTGGTGTTGTTGGGCCCAAGGACTCAAACATGTCTTTTCACACGGAGCACATCTAAGGGACATCCACTCCTGTATAGATCAGACAGAGTATGGATGAGGGTTCAAGGGCTTGCCGTAGCTATGTTGGGGGTCCACATCCCTCGTGGATCTAAGTGGCAGCTTGCGCCCCTCCTGCACCTCTGGGTGCCGGGTGCCACGGGGCCTCATCATTTGGACACGGGACAGAGGATTGGGGCGGCGAAGATGCATACTAGTTTTCCTCCCAGCGAGCAGCAGTGTGTGGTCATATGGCGATCCATCAAGCAGACGAGATGGCAGGGCGAGTGGGTTTTTCGCCGAGTTTTCGCCGTGTCAGCAGTCCATCCTGGCTGGTTTGGCAGTGAATTATGACCCCTACTGTGGGGTTCGCATTGGCCTCGCATCCTGGCCCACCTGGTGGCTCTAGAGCAACTCGCCGAAAGTCCTTGCGAGAAGTGGGGACCTGTGGGGGCAGGTTGCAGTTTCGCACGGTGTCCGACCATCAGTCCTTAACTGCTGGCTTGGTGCGGCCCCAGCCTCGGGCGGCGGCCAAGTCCTTGAAGTAGCAGCCGAAGGCCAGTTCTGTGGTGTACGTGAGGTACTTTCAGCGCTATGTTTCGGCCGAGCGGTGGAAAGAAATTAAGAAGAACCCGCAGAGGGAGGTCCACTCCTTCCTTGCCATGCACCGTCTTAAGGCTTTGGACTCTTGGGGCTGGAAGATCGAAGACGTGCCGATGTCCTCCTTGCAGAAGGTTTTCGGTAGTGCTCGGGTCCAAGACAGCGACATCCCCTAATGGACGAGGGTCTAAAGCTTGGGGAACTTGTATAGATAGGCCTAGAGATTGTTGGAACTGACATGCCAGGTTAAAGGACAGCTGCAGCTGCCTCATGGATCCAAATTGTTGAGATGATTAATTTGGGCTTACGCCACTGGTATGTGCGGCCGGGGACGGCCACATTGACGTGGCAGAGGCTCTGCTTCAAGCCGGCGCCCAGGTGGATATGCCAGGCCGTAATGCAGCTACGGCGCTAATGGCGGCTGTGAAAGGACCGTCACTGCTTGGCTCTGTCGAGCCGATGAATGGCGCGGGATCTTAGACCAGAAAATTGTTGTCTGGCCTGCAAACTGCCCTTGAGGTCTTCTCGGGTGCACGCTTCGGCTCCACCAGGGTTTGGGCCTCGATTTCGGGCTTCAGAGGCGGTCTCGACCTTGTTTTTCTGTTTGTGAGGCTCGCTCAGCTCTGGGACAGCCAGCGCACACACGAGCACGGCCGGATGGCAGGTGACGGCAAGCCTCGGATCGATGGAATGAGTAGTGCCACCCGTCAAATTTGAATGCAGCTTCGTGACCTTTTCATCCGGCCGACCAAGTCCTCCTCCGGATAGTTGGATGTCTAAATCGGGTTTAACAGTGGAGCAGCGTCGAGCACAAGATGCTCCAACCTTCATCACTGATAGCCCAGATCCGAGGCATGATGTGCATCAAGAACCCTGATCGCACATGCTTGGGATTGGGCGCGAAATCACAATTGCAATAGCCGAGCTGCTGACGGCACTTGCACCGACATGTTCACAAGATATGCTTGTTCTGGATAGCCTCGTTCGCCAACCAACGTAATGCATCGAAATAGACGCGGCATGAATATGCGGCTTTCTTGAGCGAGCTCTGAACCGGACAAGCACGACCGACTCCTCGAGATCGATCCGCTTTCAAGTTTCATGCCGGCTTTTCTCGTAGACCAAAGGTCAGTATAAATTAACAAATGTACCGGATTTTGGAGGCCACGGAACAGTCCGCAAAGGTGCTTCTGAGCAAAGGTAGGGAACTCCCACGCTTTCTTCCATAGATTTCAAGTTGAAAGCCGGAGCTCGGGATCCTGGATGGTTTAAGGTTATGCCCGGCGCACGCGTTCTGAAACTCATTTTGGATTCTCCTGGGAGCTTACATAGAGCGCACGGTCGGATTACAAGCTGCATATTTTTTGCAGCCAGCCAAGATGCGAACCTGGTGCCTCTTGCACGCAGCCACATAATCAGCATTTGCCTGGCTGGTGCGGTTTTGTGGATCCAATCCACACTGCCCTGTCGGCAGTGATCTCCAAGAGCGCCTTGGAGCTGGACCCCCTGCAAAAAAAAACCGGCTTAGATGGCTGCGCAGGTTGGGCCAGGATTTGGGTGTTAGGGCATGTGTAGGTGCCCAGCAGGAAAGCCTAAACCCGGACGAGCTTTAATATATTAGCTCCTAGGAACTACAAGGTATTGGGCAAGCTCGGGGGCTGACTGCAATTATTTTGTCTCATTGTTTGGGGGAGTCGGGGTTTAGGGTCGGTGATATAAAGAAAATATATAAAACATGCTCATGCAGACAACAGACATAAGTACAAATGCCAATCACTTGCCTGAGTCCTACTCCATCGCTAGAAATCGCCCTAAACCTCGTTTCAGTAAACAAAAATTAAATTCGAAATGCGATGCTTTGCCTTGAATGCTCGTGAAATTAGACTCGCCTCCGACAGTCCAACCCTACATATATAGGGGCGTGTTAGCCCTAAAACCTAGAGGGGCTGGTGGGTCACCAGCCCTACAAGGTCAACATGAACCTCAGGTGTCCTTCGTGACATTGTCATGATGCAGATCGGCGATGAAATCTACGTGCCGTGGCAGTTGTGTCTGACTACTGGCTTGACGATGATCTTGTACTTCTTTGTAAACGTGCTCGGCTGTGACAGCGGGTTTTGCGAAGAATCTGCGCTGCTGGTAGGTTTCTGCTCATTCTGCTCGACACGCCAGTACATCCTGGCCGACGCAGTGGGCTGGGTTTCAACGTTGACATATTGCTGACATTCCCACTCGCCTACCCAGTCATGCTCCCTGCTCCGGATCCTGAAATGGTTCTGTCCTTCGGCGATGATCCAGTTCGGCACTGTGCAGTTTTTTTGGGTTGCTGCTTGGCATATCAATACGCTTATATGTGTGGCGGCTTGAGCTGGGGCTCTTGGATTCCTGCTGTCGAGGACTCCTGGTTATGATTTTCTTGATCGTCCATTGCGTCTGCTTGTTTAACAAATGGGAAAGGCAAGGTCAGGAAAGCCTGGCATCGTGTCGCTGTGTCAACGTACAGATCGCGACACATCAGGCAGCTTGGCAATACTTGGTTGATCCCATCTGGTGGGCTTAGAGTTCACAAGGGTCAGAATTTTTTCCTCCCTACCAGCTAGACAAGTAAGGTAATGGGCAAAGAAAGTGGCTTGCCACGGGGCTCTCTCGTGGGATCTCCCGATTGAGCCGCAGCCGGGCTGGGCGGCCATGAAAAAGAGTGCTTGGGATTTGCTGCCGATGCGAAGTTCCCGAGCCGAAGCTAGTGGAGTGGAGGTTGTAGTTGCGCATGCAAGTTTTTAGACACCTTGTTTAGCTTCTCATGACGCCCTCAACCCTCACTGTTCCGGAAATTGAAGTTGAATCCTAGTTAGTTTGCCCTTGTCGTTGTCGGACTCGTCGACAAGATGTTCGGAGATGGGCAAGCATGGTGGTGCAAAGGCGGATGTTGGGCTGCCCAAGTGCCGAAGTGAGAACCACCGATCGAGTAAAGGGCATCCTTCGGCCGGAACGGATTCTGCAACACGCCAAGCCCTAACACTGCAAGCCCCTACAATTGTAAGGTCCTGAACCCTGAAACCCTGAACCACCGTCAGGTCTTGGAAGTGGTTGAGCGAGGCCAGCGCCTAGACAAGGCTCTTGGCTTCTTGGGCCTGAGCTTGGGATGGGCCGGTGTGTTGTGTTGCCTACATAAATACGGGGTGGGGTCTCGATTTCAAAGCCACCGAAGCAACAAATGACGGATGTTGAGCTGATGCCCTTCATCTGCAGGCAACCTGGAGCAGTGCCGAACACCCCAAATGCAGCCACAGCTCCAGACAATATCAAACACCAACTTTCGAAAACCCCCGCCCCACAATCCAAAACCCGGCTCCCGGGAAACCAAAGCAGAAATCTCTGGGTTTGTTTACAGTATCCCCGGTCCTCTTCAAATTGACGCGGAGGTGCATGCCCTTGACCCGCTGGCCATGGAGATGCTCGAGGAGGCTCATTCCGTGGTGGAGAGGGGGGCAAGGGTGCGGACACTGTACGGGCTTTGAGGGTTGAGGGTTTAGGGTATCTGGGGCTTAGGAGATGGTGGGGTTTATACATTCGGGGTTTAATGCTTCAGTGATTCAGGTCTGCGAGGCCTACTTTCCGACCTTTCGTTTTTTTTTTTCTGGCGCTTTAGGAGTTAGGGCAGTTAGGGTGCAGGGCACAGGGTTTGGGTGCGTGGGTGGATGTTGGGCTTTTGGTGTGTTGCCGCTTCGCGGGGCTTCGAGGTTGGCTTCGTGAATGTAATTTGTTTTTCTCTCTCAGGTTAGGGGATGGTTCGATCTCTCTTCTGCAAGAGGCTTCAAACTTGACTCGCTCAACTCCCCGCTTTCCCGTTGCTCTCAAGACAACACCCGAAAAATCTTTGGCAACGAAGTGCTTTCCCCGCAGCAAATTCTTTTCCGAACCTTGGACCATTACCGCAAAGTGTGATTTCTCAAATCAGATTCCAAACTCCGTCGACTGCAGCTTCGCAAGTTGTCTCCAAGGGCCCGAATTTCCAGACTAGGAGCCCTCAACCCCAAACCTTGACCACCTGCACTTCACATCGTTTGTACCTTCAACCTAAATCTTCAGGCCAAGGGACATGGGCGCGAGAATGTGATCGCAGCCGGCTTGGAAGAACGGAGGTTGACGGTGTAGGGACTGGTGGATGCTGGGGGCTCTAAAGTTTAGGGATTTAGAAGCTCGGGTTTACTCGTCGGGGGTTTAGGGTTTCTGGCTTTGGGCCCAGGGGCTGGATGGCGAAAAGCGGTGACTAGCATCAGGCTCCAGACCCTTAGCCATGGACCCCGATATACTCTTGGATCATGTTTGTCATCTCGGTGCTGAGATTTCGGGGCTACAGGTTGGGCGGGGCATTGCATTCCTTCTGCACCCCACAACAAGCCCGAAGCTCCAAAATCTTGGATTCTCCGAACTTGACGTGTGCGCTAGAAGCAGTGAAAAGAACATCCCCAACACTCCTGCTCGAGTCTTCGAGGCACCATGTATGGACCATGTATGGACCCGAAGCCAGCCTTTGGCACGAGCAGTTGTTGCCCGTTTGGCACAAGAATGTCTTGACCCTGTCAATCCTGATCCCTTGACCGCAAGTCCCTTCTTGGACCTAGTAAGGCAAAAGGCTTGAATTAAGGTTTAGAGCTGCTTCAAGGCTAATCAGGGCGATAGCAAACGGCAGATGGTTCCGCTTGCCACAAAGGACCTCAAGGAATGCAAAGTGGCGACTGGCAGTGTCACTGCGCCAATACAAGTGCTGCAGACGAGACCTCAGGAGAAAACAACAAACTCGCCTCTGCTTCAGGTGTCTTGCTTTACATTTTCACTTTCCTGGAATAGCTTTGAGATCATCAGCTCGCGCAGTACTTCGTTCCGGGTGGTCCCGATCTTCCCAATGAAGCTGGTTACTATCGGAACGAAGCGCAAAATCTTCACCTCTTCTTCCGTGTTCAAGATGTGGGTCATCAGCCACACCAAGCAGCGGTTGGTTCCGGCTGCAGCCTCGCAGGACCTGACGCATTGGAACGTGGCGACTGGCAGTTTGACGGCACCTGTACAAGTGCTGCCGATGAGGCGTCAGGAAATAAGAAACAAAGTTGCTTGTGCTAAAGGCGTCGCTCTGTATATCTTCACCTTCCAGCGACAGCTCAAAGACCTTTCTGGATGCTACGAATACTTCTGCGAGTACAACAAGAGCCCTTGCTTCAAGCGCTGGCGGGCGCTTCGGCACTTCCTGATGAAGTCCGGCGAAGGATTCTGGGTCGTCCGAGACAAATTAAGACTGCAAGGACTTGGACACAAGCAACAATCTTGTGCATTTTGTAGGCCCAAACAAGAGCATGGAGAAGGCCCGTTGCGAGGTAGCCCGGGGTTCGCAGGAGTTCTGGATGCTCTGCGATCTGGCACGTTCACACACCTCCACCTGGAAGCAGCAGCGTCACAGACCTCCACCTGGAAGCAGCAGGCGTCACGAGTCCAAAGTTCTAAACACAACTTTGACTTCATGGTGTGGGCATACCGACGCACCGGCATCCTCTTCCGCGCCGAGCGCGCTTGCTTCATCTTCCACGCCGCCCGGGAGCCTCCCGCCATTCCGAGGACAAAGCGGCGGGTATGCATTGGCTATCAGATGGAGGACGTGCGAACATACTTCACCGAGGTGCATAGTCGCATCCGCGCCCTTTTGGACAAGACACGGCGAGGACTGCGACCTCAAAGTGATCTGCGAGGTCTTCAAAGGACAGGTCTACAGGCCCTCTGGCGCTGGGCTCTTCATGCCCCGAAGGGGGGGCCCAGTCGCCGAAGGCAGATCGATGCGATGAGCCCGGAAACTGTGAGGAAGCATCGTAGTCTGGAATGCGAGAGAGTGACTCGGAGCCGTGCAGGTGGCAGCAGTGGTCCGGTTCAGCCAGAGGCATCGGGATCTGGCAGCGAGAACGAGGACGTGTTTGCGTCGGATGAGGAAAACAAACAGGCACCAGTTGCTGAGACATCCGCATGCGGCGAGGTATCATTTGGTGAGTCATTTTATGGAGACGCGGAGCGGTTGCCCCGGGAACAGGAGGCTCTGGCCAGGTATCGGGTCGGCCACGGCGTGGTATCTCAGGAATGGCACAGCCATCAGCGATGCTTACGAGCCGACGGGCACTATTGAGATGCAGCAGGAGAACCTTCGCCAGGACCACGAGTACAGCTGCACAAAAAACAGTGATCCACGAGACGTGCTCTTCGGAGACGGGCGGCCGCAAGATCAGAGCACAACGCCAGTGCCACAACAGCCCTTGCTTCAGGGCGGAAGTTTCCGCAGCTCTTCCTGTGAAGTCCGGCGCTAGACTACGTGATACAAGGCAAAACCTCAAGTATCTGGGCCAAGCACCATCTTGTCATTTTGGAGAAGGCATCTGCACAGTGTGGACGAATGGGGAGCTTTCATCGCCCGACAACTTCAGTTATCTTGCACTGTTCCTAGATTGTGGACATCCCGTTCAGCCGGTGCTTCTGCCTGGAGCCCCGACTATCCTTTGAACATCCTGAAAGATAAACTCCTTTTTGCCGGACCATCCCGAACTTCATGGGGTTTTGAGCCCACATGCCCACACTCTATACTAGAAAAGCTTGAGTGCAGGAATAGTCTTTGCAGTGCCCACTTCTCAGGCACCCTACCTGGAAGAATTGAAGCGTGAGCATGGGCCTGGCACTGAGTGCCCTTCTGCCCCCTTCTCTGGGTGCTAACTTGCTGGGATTTGGGATCAAGGCTTTGGGGCTATAGGATCATGCAGAGGTTCCTCGCAGCACAGCCTTCGAAGACCCTCCCGTTTAGTACTGTCAGAACTCACTACCACATGACCCACAAATCATTTCGAAACACTGCGCATTGAATTATGAAATTTCAGAATGCCCGTTACGTTGGCATTAGGATTGTGGGTAGACTTCACACAGCGAGCTCGAGCGAGTGGGTGTTCAGTGTCTGTAGCTTCGGTACATGGCCATCGTAGGCAGATCTCGGCGACTACACTCGGAGTTTTGCCGACGAATGCACGACCCACCCCTAGCCTTACATCGTTGCAGCAAGCCCTAATTCCACGCCCTAAGCTCGGGGAATCCCGGCTCCTATACCCCAAACTCCTGATAGTCAAATCGCCAAACCTTGCCTAGACTTAGACTTCAGACCCCCAAACCGCACACCCCGAAGCCGAAACCCATGGCTCTTGTCAGGTATTTCGAAAGGTTCAGGGTTCGAGACATTGGGCGGGTGGCATGAGGTTCTGCAGGTCATGCATGGTCTGCATAAGTCTGTACCGTGCTATGGCTTCCATCTAGGCTTGACAGTCCTTAAGCGTGTTGAATGATGCGCTGTAGACCCTGATGCTGCTTCTGGTGTCGCAAGTACAGCCCGCATTGTATTGCAAAATACATCATCCACAGAACCTTTTTTCCGCTGCCTTGTAGGTTTCTGTAGCAAGTACTAGTTCTTGTTTTCACGATTTACGTCTTGTCTTGGCGCAAGTACGGGCAAGCACGTCCATTGGGCGTTGGACTATGTTGGACTGTGGGGTGTATCGAACTGGGCAGCTTCCGTTTCGAAGCTATGAGTTCAGCCTCCTAAACCCTAAACCCCGATCGAAAAGAAAGAGCTTAGCAGATCGGGCCTAGGGTCGCCAAGCTGCAAGAGTACCCGCATCGAAGCCTGGAAAAGCTTGGTACAACCTACACAGTAGCTTAAAGCTTCAGCTTCACCCTCTAATAGACGGACTTGAGACCGGACTCCGTGTAAAAACCATATGCTTCAGGCCCCAAACCACCGCCCGCACCCAGCACCTGAATCCCTAAACCTGGCTGTTCACCCTGAGGCTCTCCACACCGAAACCTGTGGAAATGCCCGAGGAACTCATAGCCATTGCCCGAGAGACACGGTCTTGGGCTTGGGATGTTGAGAGACTTAGGAGTCAGGTCGTGGGGTTCCACAGTTGGTTTGGGTCTCGAGTTTTAGGATGCCGAGATTAGGAACTAGGGCGTAGGGTTAAGTTTGAGGCTTGGGCTGACGGTCAAGGAGGATGGTACAGGTGTGCCGGTTGATGCCTTAGCTTCGGAGTATACAGCTGTGAGCCTTCAACCCCAGAACCCTCTAAACGTACGGTGCACGAGTTTAGAGCCTGCTCAAACATTCACCTTGACCATCCTGCAGAGTGAAACCCGAGTCACTAAACTAAAACCCTGAACCTGGCATTGCAACCTCTTGCAATACGAAGCCTTCAACCCTGAAGCCACATGTTCGTAGGAAATGCAATCTGCCGAGAGATGCAGAAGGGGTGTGAATTGAAGTTTTGTCCGGGGTCATGCTCGTGAGTTGCATGTTCGGGAAGCCAAAATTCCGACTGCGGGTCGTGCAGGCCGAGCGAGACTTTCTGGAGCAGCAGATTGCAGAGGCTTTAATCTTTGATTCATGTTGCTGACTATAGTTTGGGGTTTCGGAGTGTGAGTCTGTGTTGATCCTAAACTCCAAACTCTGAAAGCCTTCGACTCCCTGGCCCTGGATGCTTAGCTCTGGCCGGAAATCTCTCCTGGGTTTGTCGGATACAGGCCCAGTTCGGCATTCCAGGGTTCATGGAAGCCACAAGCGCTTGGCCCAGGGTGCCCGAAGCCGGAAAGGGAGACAAGCAGCCTATGTTTCGGCTTCGGGCTGTGGGGAGGTCAACGTCTCTGAGGGGTTTCTTTGTATTTAGGGCTTAGGCTTCCGGCCTTGGGATGTAGAGTTGAGCAATTCGGGTTCAGAGTTTGTTGCTGAAAAGAAAAATTGCTTGGTCGTATTCGCTTCGGTCGCTGCAGAGCAGAGGCTGCAGATCAACACTCTTTCGTCTTTGCCCTTTCCTTCTGCAATACATGGCGGACTGCAAACCTCCAAGCCAAACATGAACTTATTTGTACTTACGACTTAAAACCTTCAGTCGGATACGGTAATCATAGCCAGCAAAAAGCCACAGCTAGAGGTCGAGGCCGAAATCGCCAAGATCGAAGATTTCCGGCAGGAGCAAGAGGTGGGAACGGCAACTTCCAGCTTGAGATTTAGAGTAGCTCTCAGGATTCAGCGTTTAAGATTATGGCTTCTGCGAGCTCACGGCCTCGGATTTGAATGTGGTTTAGGGCTGCTGTTGTCGGCTGCCTCCTTGCATCTCACCTTATCTAAACCTAGACTCAGAAGCCAAAATTCAGACCATGTAGGGAGGATGGGTATCATTGTGTGCCTCCGAGATTTAAAAGTCGGACCCTGCAATTTTGTTGAACCGATGCAGTGGCCAAAGTTGGGCCAGACGATGTGCTGATATGCTTGACAGGGCTGCCTCTCAGAGAGTGTTCAGGCCCCCCTTCTCGTGATGGTAGCGGAAGCACTGTGCCGGCTCCTTGAGATCTCTATCAAAGCCATTGTCTCGCTTGGAGTGCTAGTGATTCTAGTGTGGCCAGGGGCAGCGCAAAGCGGCGGCGAACACATTGAGCGCCATCGAGTTCGACGACGAACGAAGCACTTCCGACACGTTTCCATGCAACCGAAACTATGACCACCTGCATTTGTTTCGAGCTTTGCAGCTATCGTGTCTGACTTGATTGATCTGATGAGTTTGCATACACCTGTTGTTCAGAATACCTGCAGAGACTGTCGTCGCAATTGTAGTGCCTTCGCGAACATGCGCAATACTGCCACGACAGCCGTTCCTCCCAATACAATCACCGTCCCTCTTGCTTCGACAACACGGTACGGCTAGACTCCTTTGGCATTTTGCTCTCAGTACTTTGCGCTCCTTCTCCTCCTCCTCCTCCTCCAATGACGTCTAGGTCTATTGCCCCAAGCACCGGAGCTCCTCCTCTCTACAACGACAACTACTGCCACTGCTACACTGCTGTTTCCACTGCAGCTTCTCCCTGCGAAAGCTACTGCCACCGCTGCCCCGGCACTGCTGCTGCCACTGTTGTTTAGGCTGCAACCATGTACGACATCGACGACGTGTCGGTGCTACCACGCAAACTACGATTACGACTGCAGTCGTAACGAACTGTTCGTTGCTGTGCTGGCCAAGACCGTGTTCAATCACTTCCCGTTAGCTCGTGGCTGCATGGGCCCACCACTGCCGGCGCTGGCACTGCCACCACCAGTCAAAACCCACAAGCAGCATGGTTACTTCTGTGTCTAATGCATTTTTCATTGCAAGAGGATCAGTCTCCCGGGGCATTATTGCAACATGAACATGCGGTTCGATATTTCAGCATCTTGTTTGGTGCTGCGTGCCCTTCCCTCTTTGCCGTTATCGGAAACTTTCGTTATTGGCTCTTTTCCTGCACTTTCGAAGTGTTTCGCCTTCGGCGAGATGCCGCATTCTGCGGCTCCCTTCGATCGAATTCTGCAAGACTGTATATGCGGCCGTGCCTGAGTCTATCAGTGTGTCCAGGATTGGCGAGCTTTTGCGCAAAGAGGCGACGATCCTACCTGGGCGTCATGCAGGCTTCCTGCCTGACGGGTTTGCTGCCTCTGAGGGCTTAGGATTTCCTTGCTGATGCAGTGCAGCTCTCGGAGTGTCGAAGCAGTTGGCCAATTGCCTCCGCATTGTCAGCGAAATCCGCGCAGTCGACTGCCGAAACCCTGAAACCAAGCTCCCTACCCAGAGCCTCAATTTCGATCGACGGTAAACTGCAACACGAGTTGCACCAGGCTGGATTGAAGGCTTTGGTGTTATTTTTTTGAGGGGCAGGTGGGTTCAGAGGCTCTGGGGCCCTTTCATTTCGAAGGGTAGTGTGGCTGCATGCTTCGCCGGGCCATCGTCGCATCATGGTAGTCCTGCTAGTCCTCCCGGCTTGTGGCACCTAAGGTGGAGCCTCCGATTGCGGGCAACATGCCTGACTTCGATGTCGAGCGGGTCGCACCACTTTGGGGCTCAGGGTTTCGGATTCAGTATTCCGAGCTTTAGGCTGGTCCGTGGAAAGGTTTATCGGAGCAGAAGCAAGATTCCAACGTCATCCGACTATGGCGCTTTCCCATCTTTGTCTTCGTGGTCCACGAGGTCTTCATGTCATTTCGGAATGGGCGGGGGTTTCGATCTCCTTAGCCCTGACCGCTACTACGTTCCTTCGGTCCGAGCTCTACCCCCGAAGTGACCCGGCTCCTCACCTCTTTTAGGGATTCTTAGGCCATATAGGGTTTCATTATCCTGAACCTGGAGGTGTTCTAGCCTTGTACCCCTACATCCCCCAAGCGTTCTGGTGCCACTGCCAGAGCGAGTACATCAAGTCTGGCCTGCGACGGAAGTGCAGGCGTGGAGCGGCGTCTTCGGGGTGAAACTTTGGGCTTGAGGCTTTCGAGTCGAGTCACTGTTCCTGGCATGTCAGAGCATCATGTCGCAGCTGGAAAAATGCTGAAGCTCTCTGAGGAAAACATAATGCTGCAGGAAAAACTTGTTTCGAACTACTGCACTTCCCGTTGTACTGCTCGGCTTGTATGACGTCGTGGAGTGTATAAGGACCTTAAGAGCAAGCTTCCTTGGTGTTGTAAGATTTGAACGGTTCAAGTGTAGGGCTACGGTGTCATGCGACAGGGTGCAGCTCTTGGGATCGTAGATGCTGCCGCTTGCTCTATCGGGTACAGGGGTCCAGCGCCAGCGCCGGCGCCCAGTGCCAGCGCAAGCGCCACAGCGAGCACCAGCCCCGCAACCACAGAGCGCCAGCGTCAGCGCCGTCAGCAGCCCCAGCTCCCAGCCCCAGCACCAGCCAGCCCCGCGCCCCAGCGAGCCCCTCAGGTTGATCACATAACCGAAACTCGCCCCCTCCTTTGTGGATCCCTTTTGATTACACTTCTCAAACCCACCCCCTCATTTGGCGATCCTGTTTCACCACGTATCTTAAGCGTGCCCTCTCAGAGCCCTCTCCTTAGGCGATCCCGGTTGATCATAACTCTTAGGCCCGCCACCTCATTAGTCGATCCTGGTTGACCATTTCTTTTTCGCAGCTCCCTCAAGCCGGGTTCTTCACATATCTTCAACGATCCAGATTCAACACATATCTTATACACCCACTTCTCATTAGGCCATCCTGGTTGATCACGTTCTTAATCCCCTCCTTTGGCGATCCCGGTTCATCACATATCCTAAACCTGCCCCTTCATTCGGCGGTCCAGATTCATCGCATGTCGTAAACGCGCCCTCTGATTATGCGATCCCGGTTGATCACATTTCTTGAACCCGCCCCCTCATTTGGGAATGCAGTTTGACCACATATCTTAAACCCCCCCCTCCCTTCTCCACATTTTGGCGATGCAGGTTGATCGCATTTCTTAAACCCGCCCCCTTCATTTGGCGATGCAGGCTAACCACATATCCACAACCCACCCCCCCTTTGGCGATGCCGGTTCATCGAATTTCTTAAACCCTCCCGACCCCGTTTAACTACTTATCTTAAGCACCCTCTGTCAGGCGATCCCGGTTGATCACATTTCTTAAACCCGACCCCTCATTCGGAGATGCAGGTTGATCACATGTTAACAATCCGCCCTCTCATGAGGCGATCCCGGTTGATCACATTTCTTAAAGCCGCCCCCTCATTTGGCGATCCCGGTGGAGCACATTTCTCAAACCCGCCCCCTCAGTTAACAATCCCGATTCGTCTGATATTTCTAACCTGCCTCTCATTGGGCGATCCGGTTGGTCAAATATCTTACACTCCTCCCCTCATTCGGCGATGCCTGTTGATCACATATTAGCAATCCACCCCCTCATTAGGCGATCCCGGTTGATCACATTCCTTAAAGCCGCCCCCTCATTTGGCGATCCCGGTGGAGCACATTTCTCAAACCCGCCCATTTTACAATCCCGATTCGTCTCATATTTCTAACCGCTACCTCTCCATTGGGATCACATATCTTACACTCCTGAACTCATTCGGCGATGCCTGTTGATCACATTTTAACAATCCGCCCTCTCATTAGGCGATCTCGGTTGATCACATTTCTTAAACCCACTCCTTCATTTGGCGATGCCGAGGCATCGTACATCTTATAAACCATCTTAAACCTCCCCCTCAATATAGGCGACCCCAAGTGAACACGTATATTCAGCTCGCTCCCTCGTTTTGCGATCGCCGTTGAGTTCAACCCAGGGCCAGCACCAGCTCCAACGCCCGAGCCTTCTTCCTGGCGCCATCGGCAACGCCTCATGTCTAAAAATAACGCAGCGCGAGCACAGCGCCAGCGCCAGCGCCAGCGCGCCCTGGCCCCAGCGCCAGCGCCAGCGCCCGCCAGCCCGCTGCAGGGCAAGCGCCAGCGCCAGCGCCAGCGCGCGGAATTAGTCTATCCCCACAGGGGTGGGTGTTGCGGGTCGTAGGCATTGGAGATAGACACTAATTGTATACCGATGTAGCCATTCAGCACCAAAGTCCCTCTTCCCACCCCGTCCCAGCCCAAGTTCCGAACAGTCCATCGTTAGGGAGTCAGCTATTTGTACGACGTAGAATTACTGGCATTGTATCATTTGTATTATACTACTGCAAGTGCTGTTTGTAGACTCGGAACTCCATCCTGAGAAAGGCTTCAAACAAGGTTCGGCTCCGAAGTGCAGCAACCGCTCCAAATCGTACCATGACCACCAGCAGAAAGGAAATTGCAAGAAACGTGAGCACAACGTATACGGAGTGTGTACAGACTATATATATATACATGCATGCATGCAAGCATATATATATATATGTATGTGTGTATGTATGTATGTATGTATGTATGTATGTATGTACGTATGTATGTGTGTGTGTATGTATGTATGTATGTATGTATGTATGTATGTATGTATGTATGTATGTGTGTATGAAGGTGTGTAGGTATGTATGGATGATGTATGGATGTATGGATGATGTATGGATGTATGGATGTGTGTATGGGTGTATGAAGGCGTGTAGGTATGGATGGATGATGTATGGATGCATGGATGTGTGTAAGTACGAATGTGTGTATGTATGCGTGTATAAATGTATGCATGCATGCATGCATGCTTGTACTGTATGCATGTGTGTGCGTGTGTATGTATATATGTATGTATGTATGTGTGTATGTATGTATGTATGTATGTAAGTAAGTAAGTATATAAGTAAGTATGTATGTATGTATGTATTTATGTATGTATGTATAGATGTACGTAATGTACTGTACTGTACTGTAATGTAATGTAATGTAATGTAATGTAATGTAATGTAATGTAACGTAATGCAATGCAATGCAATGTAATGTAATGTGATGTAATGTAATGTAATGTAATGTAATGCAATGTAACGCAATGTAATGTAATGTAATGTAATGTAATGTAATGTAATGTAATGTAATGTAATGTAATGTAATGTAATGTAAGGTAATGTAGTGTAGTGTAATGTAATGAAATGTAATGTAATGTAATGTAATGTAATGTAATTAATGTAAT